AAAACTGTTTTGAGTGACTACAGATGAGAAAAACGAATAAAAGGAAAATTAAAACATTTGATTGGTTTTGAAGCATTTTAGCTACAAAATTGTAATAACTCTAAGTGCCGAAAAAAAATTTGAGCAGGACGGTGGGGCGTTTGTTCCTTTTTGAATCCACCAAAATGAATTTGTAGTAATAAAAAATAATTACCTCATTTCTCGGCTGAAGTCCTTGATGAATTTCAATCACACATAACGATTAAGCAACGTCTTCTCATCCTTTCGTACCAGTCTTTTACATGCAGATTTCAGATCAGCCCATGGAAGTGTTGACAATAGACACTCGCGTTGCTCATTTGATGACTTCACATAACAACTGGAACTTTGACATCAACTTCTATTTTATAATATAACGTTGGTATTGGCTGTGGTTGTTTAAACAAATTGATGATTACTATTATGCCTAGAACTAGAACTGTTCACTACTTACGTTGATTTCCTGTGATTGTCTTTGAGCATTCGAACATCTTTTCTCTGTAAAGCTCGATGAGATTGTATATGCTTTTTCGTTGATTGCTTGTTTTGTGATGTTTTCGTTATCTGATTGATTCTGAAAACTATCGTGAGAGGCTATATCGTCATAAAATCCATTGAAAAGTTGCCAATGCTTCCTGCTTGATAATTGCCTCAGTTGCCTTTAATTGCTTATGTCTGAGAATTCCCTTTTCGAAAACTGTTTTGAGTGACTACAGATGAGAAAAACGAATAAAAGGAAAATTAAAACATTTGATTGGTTTTGAAGCATTTTAGCTACAAAATTGTAATAACTCTAAGTGCCGAAAAAAAATTTGAGCAGGACGGTGGGGCGTTTGTTCCTTTTGAATCCACCAAAATGAATTTGTAGTAATAAAAAATAATTACCTCATTTCTCGGCTGAAGTCCTTGATGAATTTCAATCACACATTACGATTAAGCAACGTCTTCTCATCCTTTCGTACCAGTCTTTTACATGCAGATTTTAGATCAGCCCATGGAAGTATTGACAAAAGACACCCGCGTTGCTCATTTGATGACTTCACATAACAACTGGAACTTTGACGTCAACTTCTATTTTATAATATAACGTTAGTATTTGCTGTAGTTGTTTAAACAAATTGATGATTACTATTATGCTTAGAACTAGAACTGTTCACTACTTACGTTGATTTCCTGTGATTGTCTTTGAGCATTCGAACATCTTTTCTCTGTAAAGCTCGATGAGATTGTATATGCTTTTTCGTTGATTGCTTGTTTTGTGATGTTTTCGTTATCTGATTGATTCTGAAAACTATCGTGAGAGGCTATATCGTCATCAAATCCATTGAAAAGTTGCCAATGCTTCCTGCTTGATAATTGCCTCAGTTGCCTTTAATTGCTTATGTCTGAGAATTCCCTTTTCGAAAACTGTTTTGATTGACTACAGATGAGAAAAACGAATAAAAGGAAAATTAAAACATTTGATTGGTTTTGAAGCATTTTAGCTACAAAATTGTAATAACTCTAAGTGCCGAAAAAAAATTTGAGCAGGACGGTGGGGCGTTTGTTTCTTTTGAATCCACCAAAATGAATTTGTAGTAATAAAAAATAATTACCTCATTTCTCGGCTGAAGTCCTTGATGAATTTCAATCACACATAACGATTAAGCAACGTCTTCTCATCCTTTCGTACCAGTCTTTTACATGCAGATTTCAGATCAGCCCATGGAAGTGTTGACAATAGACACTCGCGTTGCTCATTTGATGACTTCACATACAAAATGGAACTTTGACATCAACTTCTATTTTATAATATAACGTTAGTATTTGCTGTAGTTGTTTAAACAAATTGATGATTACTATTATGCCTAGAACTAGAACTGTTCACTACTTACGTTGATTGCCTGTGATTGTCTTTGAGCATTTGAACATCTTTTCTCTGTAAAGCTCGATGAGATTGTACATTCTTTTTCGTTGATTGCTTGTTTTGTGATGTTTTCGTTATCTGATTGATTCTGAAAACTATCGTGAGAGGCTATATCGTCATCAAATCCATTGAAAAGTTGCCAATGCTTCCTGCTAGATTATTGCCTCAGTTGCCTTTAATTGCTTATGTCTGATTCCCTTTTCGTAAACTGTTTTGAGTGACTACAGATGAGAAAAACGAATAAAAGGAAAATTAAAACATTTGATTGGTTTTGAAGCATTTTAGCTACAAAATTGTAACAATTCTAAGTACCGAAAAAAAATTTGGGCAGGACGGTGGAACATTTGCTCCTTTTAATCCACCAAAATAAATTTATAGCAATAAAAAATAATTACCTCATTTCTCGGCTGAAGTCCTTGATGAATTTCAATCACACATTACGATTAAGCAACGTCTTCTCATCCTTTCGAACCAGTCTTTTACATGCACATTTCAGATCAGCCCATGGAAGTGTTGACAATAGACACTCGCGTTACTCATTTGATGACTTGACATAACAACTGGAACTTTGACGTCAACTTCTATTTTATAATATAACGTTGGTATTGGCTGTAGTTGTTTAAACAAATTGATGATTACTATTATGCCTAGAACTAGAACTATTCACTACTTACGTTGATTGCCTGTGATTGTCTTTGAGCATTCGAACATCTTTTCTCTGTAAAGCTCGATGAGATTGTATATGCTTTTTCGTTGATTGCTTGTCATTCCAATCAAATTGCCGTCTCATGTAAAAACAGTTCCTGCCTGGATGGACGATCACTACTTAGAGATGCTTAGAACGCTGCACAACCTGGAAGAAAAAATTGAGAAAAGAAAATTAATAGGGGCTCCGTATAGTATGCTTCAACTAAAGTATGATGATCTGAAAGTGATTAGTGAGAATTATGGTGACATAAAGTCAAAAATTTACTTTAAGAAACTTGAGATAGTTAACCGTTATGACGCATGGAAAGTTATTAATCAAATTCTTGGTAGAGTCTCAAAAAAGCCTAATATTGTCATCATAGGCAAAAACAACGAGTTGCTAGTTGACCACAAACGCATCGCTGATACATTTCAGGACAAATTTCTCTCATTCGTTAGTGGACACCAATCAAACATTACCAGCCATAGATATATAGGAATATTGGTCGAGAACACTTTCTGTCTTGATGAAATCACTCCTTTTACTATATTTACTGTAATTGGTTCACTTGACAACAAAAAGGCTACTGGATATGACAATATTAATGCAGGGATTCTTAAAGGATGCAACAAACAATTGTGTGTACATCTAGCTAACATTTTTAATCAAATGGTCAGATCTGGAAAATATCTCAACAGGCTTAAGCACTCTATTGTAACTCCAATACTTAAAAAGGGTGATCCATCCTTAGTCAACAACTATCGTCCTATCAGTGTATTATCTCAAATCGACAAAATATTCGAAACAATTCTATGTAGTCAAATTACATCCTTTCTAGAAGCAAATAAAGTACTCGATCCTCTTCAATATGGATTCACCAACAAAAAAGGCTGCCAGGACACCATCTGTATGGCTTTAAATCATGTCTCTCAGTTTTTAGACCGTGGAGTTAGTGTCATTGTAATATCACTTGACATTAGCAAGGCTTTTGACTCAGTCGACCATAAAATTCTTTTACGCAAGCTAAATTTCATGGGTTTCAGAGGAAAAGCTTTTGAGTTGATTGAAAGCTTCTTATCAAATCGGTCGCAAGTCGTGAAATACGGTGATGTACTCAGCTTTATCGGTCTAGTTCTTAAAGGAGTACCACAAGGATCAAATTTAGGACCTCTGTTGTTCAATCTATTAATTAACGATATATCATCACTTATTACGCATGCCAAGCTTCTCAAGTATGCAGATGATTTGCTTCTAATCTTTCCACTCAACAAAATCGACAAGAATGAGAACTTAATAAGTCTTAAAACTGATCTGAATGTAATATCTACTTACTATCAACAGAATGGTTTAAGCGTCAACATACAAAAATCACAATTCATGGCACTTGGGGATATTGAGAATGATATTAAAGACTTTCTAATTAATGAAAGCCTAATTGAGACTAAGGAACTACTTTATCTTGGATTTCTCTTAGATTCTGAGTTAAAGATGCCTGGACAGATTCAAAACATTTGTAAATCCATTGCATCTGGCATTAGTGCTTTATACAACCTTAGAAATCATGTTTCTGCACAATCTATGTTAAAATTCTTTCACTCAGATATCCAGTCTCACATTAATTATTGTAGCTTCGCTCTTCTACGTGCCAGATCTATTGACATCGACAGAGTCCAAAGACTACAGTCAAGAGCACTAAGAATTATATATGATTTACCATACCTGTATTCATCCAGTGATCTTTTCACCAAGCAAGCCAAACATATTCTTCCTGTAGTCGGCATAATCTATCACACAACCATCTGTATGGTGAAAAAAAGTCTTATGTGTAAAGACGGTTCACTTCCAAAAGTCGAAAAACTAAAAAGTAACAGAAGCCGTGACTTGCTATTGGTCAGAGCTAAAAAAAAAATAATGATAGACGATATTACGCATACAGGCTGTAAATTATATAATCAGTTACCTGACAACTTAAAATTAGAAAAAAATTTTCATCTCTTTAAAAGTCAACTGAAGAAATACTTACTGGAACGTAATTCATCACTTATTAAGCACGGTCAGTTTACAGCCAGAAATCTCAAGATCTAAACATCTAAACCTGTCTTTTAATTAATTTCAAAACCCAACAAAAACATAAAAATAATTATGTTTATAAACAACGAAGGTACCAAGCCCCTTCGGAACTTCCTGGTGAACTTTTACAGCAACAATCAGCAAAATCCTTGAGTTAATTTTGAACTTCAAGGGTATCGAACTATACTCTGTATTTACATAACTTCCTCCTTATTTTTGGATACTACAAATTTACGCGAATATCTGTGAAATTAAACAGTTCTATAATCTGTGAACTTTTCTTTATAAATTAGTGATTATTTCAGGCTTTTTTTGAGAATGGATGATTTATCTAGTGATGATATTTTGCAAATTTATGCAACTGATCAGGATTTGTCATTTTCCGACAACACGAAGAGCAAAACCGTATCCTCAGACAATGTTGTGCTTAAAATTTTCACGAAAGGAGCAAATCCATTACCATCAGCCACCGAACTTGCCGATTTTCTGATCACTGAAAAGCAACTGGATGTTTGCGGCCTTAGTTTCAAACCTAAATCCGTTCTATTCGAAATTTCCAATAATAGTCAGCTAAATGTATGGCTAGTGAAATTGTTTGAAGAACGTCATTATAATATGAAATTAAGTCCCGAAAGCCAATTGGATATTTTCAGAATTCTTAAAGGCAAAACTAATCTAATCATTAAAAATCTATTAGTCTTTCTAGTAGTTCTACCAGGATCTTCGATGATAAATTTTCCATGTCAAGACAATTTCCATCCGTTTGGATTGTGTAATAAAAACATTACCAATGTTTGTGCTTCTTCTCTACGAGACGATCCATCTAAGACAATTTTTAAATTTCTCAAACATAGAGATGATGTAAATCGATTGGACATAAAGCTGGTCTATGGTGTAAGATTGGAAGTTAGTGATGACGATACACATAACTTACGATTTCTTCTAAAGCGCTCCGACATCACAAATCGTCTCCTTTGTACATTAAAGGATCTGTACGGACCTGTTTCATTTTTAGGCAGCACTTTTCATATCATTCCGACCATGCTTAAATCCAGAATTGACTATCATATTGATTCTGGTCGTGAATATTCCAATTTTTGGGATTATATAGCAACAAATGATATTCTACAGTCTGAAGTTAATGAAATGTCCATTATCGAAAAATCTTCAAAGATTGCTAGTCGTCCTACAAATGATTCATGTCCTAGAAGCACCTCAAATATTAAACCTGCAATAAACAAAAGTCGCATTGGTTCTTCTAATCGCATCGCTATCTCTTCTTGCACCGTCACGTCTTCTCGCACCGCTACCTCTTCTCGCAAATCTAAAACGCCCTCAATCTTTGACCGGCTGCTGCCTAGAGAAATATCCCACACAGAAGAAACGAACTTATCCATGGGTTTTCGCCCGATTCTTGATCATAACAATAGAAAATCTATTAGGCCAAAAATTAAAAGTGTCGTTAACAAAATTAAAAAAAGTTATTAACTAGCATTTGGCACGCCTATTTTAGAAGCTCCTAACAAATGAATGTAATCACTGCCACTTATGAAACTCCCATTTGTATTATACCATATGAAATCCTTACAAAACGAATTATACTACAACACTGTAAATTAATGAAACTACCGTTAGGTATCAATAAACCTCTAATTTGAATTTGAATTTGAACGTTGGTATTGGCTGTAGTTGTTTAAACAAATTGATGATTACTATTATGCCTAGAACTAGAACTATTCACTACTTACGTTGATTGCCTGTGATTGTCTTTGAGCATTCGAACATCTTTTCTCTGTAAAGCTCGATGAGATTGTATATGCTTTTTCGTTGATTGCTTGTTTTGTGATGTTTTCGTTATCTGATTGATTCTGAAAACTATCGTGAGAGGCTATATCGTCATAAAATCCATTGAAAAGTTGCCAATGCTTCCTGCTTGATAATTGCCTCAGTTGCCTTTAATTGCTTATGTCTGAGAATTCCCTTTTCGAAAACTGTTTTGAGTGACTACAGATGAGAAAAACGAATAAAAGGAAAATTAAAACATTTGATTGGTTTTGAAGCATTTTAGCTACAAAATTGTAATAACTCTAAGTGCCGAAAAAAAATTTGAGCAGGACGGTGGGGCGTTTGTTCCTTTTGAATCCACCAAAATGAATTTGTAGTAATAAAAAATAATTACCTCATTTCTCGGCTGAAGTCCTTGATGAATTTCAATCACACATAACGATTAAGCAACGTCTTCTCATCCTTTCGTACCAGTCTTTTACATGCAGATTTCAGATCAGCCCATGGAAGTGTTGACAATAGACACTCGCGTTACTCATTTGATGACTTCACATACAAACTGGAACTTTGACATCAACTTCTATTTTATAATATAACGTTAGTATTTGCTGTAGTTGTTTAAACAAATTGATGATTACTATTATGCCTAGAACTAGAACTGTTCACTACTTACGTTGATTGCCTGTGATTGTCTCTGAGCATTCGAACATCTTTTCTCTGTAAAGCTCGATGAGATTGTACATTCTTTTTCGTTGATTGCTTGTTTTGTGATGTTTTCGTTATCTGATTGATTCTGAAAACTATCGTGAGAGGCTATATCGTCATCAAATCCATTGAAAAGTTGCCAATGCTTCCTGCTTGATAATTGCCTCAGTTGCCTTTAATTGCTTATGTCTGAGAATTCCCTTTTCGAAAACTGTTTTGAGTGACTACAGATGAGAAAAACGAATAAAAGGAAAATTAAAACATTTGATTGGTTTTGAAGCATTTTAGCTACAAAATTGTAATAACTCTAAGTGCCGAAAAAAAATTTGAGCAGGACGGTGGGGCGTTTGTTCCTTTTTGAATCCACCAAAATGAATTTGTAGTAATAAAAAATAATTACCTCATTTCTCGGCTGAAGTCCTTGATGAATTTCAATCACACATAACGATTAAGCAACGTCTTCTCATCCTTTCGTACCAGTCTTTTACATGCAGATTTCAGATCAGCCCATGGAAGTGTTGACAATAGACACTCGCGTTGCTCATTTGATGACTTCACATAACAACTGGAACTTTGACATCAACTTCTATTTTATAATATAACGTTGGTATTGGCTGTGGTTGTTTAAACAAATTGATGATTACTATTATGCCTAGAACTAGAACTGTTCACTACTTACGTTGATTGCCTGAGATTGTCTTTGAGCATTCGAACATCTTTTCTCTGTAAAGCTCGATGAGATTGTATATGCTTTTTCGTTGATTGCTTGTTTTGTGATGTTTTCGTTATCTGATTGATTCTGAAAACTATCGTGAGAGGCTATATCGTCATAAAATCCATTGAAAAGTTGCCAATGCTTCCTGCTTGATAATTGCCTCAGTTGCCTTTAATTGCTTATGTCTGAGAATTCCCTTTTCGAAAACTGTTTTGAGTGACTACAGATGAGAAAAACGAATAAAAGGAAAATTAAAACATTTGATTGGTTTTGAAGCATTTTAGCTACAAAATTGTAATAACTCTAAGTGCCGAAAAAAAATTTGAGCAGGACGGTGAGGCGTTTGCTCCTTTTTAATTCACAAAAATAAATTTGTAGTAATAAAAAATAATTACCTCATTTCTCGGCTGAAGTCCTTGATGAATTTCAATCACACATAACGATTAAGCAACGTCTTCTCATCCTTTCGTACCAGTCTTTTACATGCAGATTTCAGATCAGCCCATGGAAGTGTGGACAATAGACACTCGCGTTGCTCATTTGATGACTTCACATAACAACTGGAACTTTGACATCAACTTCTATTTTATAATATAACGTTGGTATTGGCTGTGGTTGTTTAAACAAATTGATGATTACTATTATGCCTAGAACTAGAACTGTTCACTACTTACGTTGATTTCCTGTGATTGTCTTTGAGCATTCGAACATCTTTTCTCTGTAAAGCTCGATGAGATTGTATATGCTTTTTCGTTGATTGCTTGTTTTGTGATGTTTTCGTTATCTGATTGATTCTGAAAACTATCGTGAGAGGCTATATCGTCATAAAATCCATTGAAAAGTTGCCAATGCTTCCTGCTTGATAATTGCCTCAGTTGCCTTTAATTGCTTATGTCTGAGAATTCCCTTTTCGAAAACTGTTTTGAGTGACTACAGATGAGAAAAACGAATAAAAGGAAAATTAAAACATTTGATTGGTTTTGAAGCATTTTAGCTACAAAATTGTAATAACTCTAAGTGCCGAAAAAAAATTTGAGCAGGACGGTGGGGCGTTTGTTCCTTTTGAATCCACCAAAATAAATTTGTAGTAATAAAAAATAATTACCTCATTTCTCGGCTGAAGTCCTTGATGAATTTCAATCACACATTACGATTAAGCAACGTCTTCTCATCCTTTCGTACCAGTCTTTTACATGCAGATTTTAGATCAGCCCATGGAAGTATTGACAAAAGACACCCGCGTTGCTCATTTGATGACTTCACATACAAACTGGAACTTTGACATCAACTTCTATTTTATAATATAACGTTAGTATTTGCTGTAGTTGTTTAAACAAATTGATGATTACTATTATGCCTAGAACTAGAACTGTTCACTACTTACGTTGATTTACTGTGATTGTCTTTGAGCATTGTCTTTGGTTGAATGCTTGTTTTGTGATGTTTTCGTTATCTGATTGATTCTGAAACTGACGTGAGAGGCTATATCGACATCAAATCCATTGAAAAGTTGCCGATGCTTTCTGCTTGATGATTGTCTCAGTTGCCTCTAATTGCTTATGTCTGAGAATTCCCTTTTCGAAAACTGTTTTGAGTGACTACAGATGAGAAAAACGAATAAAAGGAAAATTAAAACATTTGATTGGTTTTGAAGCATTTTAGCTACAAAATTGTAATAACTCTAAGTGCCGAAAAAAAATTTGAGCAGGACGGTGGGGCGTTTGTTCCTTTTGAATCCACCAAAATAAATTTATAGTAATAAAAAATAATTACCTCATTTCTCGGCTGAAGCCCTTGATGAATTTCAAACACACATAACGATTAAGCAACGTCTTCTCATCCTTTCGTACCAGTCTTTTACATGCAGATTTCAGATCAGCCCATGGAAGTGTTGACAATAGACACTCGCGTTACTCATTTGATGACTTCACATACAAACTGGAACTTTGACATCAACTTCTATTTTATAATATAACGTTAGTATTTGCTGTAGTTGTTTAAACAAATTGATGATTACTATTATGCCTAGAACTAGAACTGTTCACTACTTACGTTGATTGCCTGTGATTGTCTTTGAGCATTCGAACATCTTTTCTCTGTAAAGCTCGATGAGATTGTACATTCTTTTTCGTTGATTGCTTGTTTTGTGATGTTTTCGTTATCTGATTGATTCCGAAAACTATCGTGAGAGGCTATATCGTCATCAAATCCATTGAAAAGTTGCCAATGCTTCCTGCTAGATTATTGCCTCAGTTGCCTTTAATTGCTTATGTCTGATTCCCTTTTCGTAAACTGTTTTGAGTGACTACAGATGAGAAAAACGAATAAAAGGAAAATTAAAACATTTGATTGGTTTTGAAGCATTTTAGCTACAAAATTGTAACAATTCTAAGTACCGAAAAAAAATTTGGGCAGGACGGTGGAACATTTGCTCCTTTTAATCCACCAAAATAAATTTATAGCAATAAAAAATAATTACCTCATTTCTCGGCTGAAGTCCTTGATGAATTTCAATCACACATTACGATTAAGCAACGTCTTCTCATCCTTTCGAACCAGTCTTTTACATGCACATTTCAGATCAGCCCATGGAAGTGTTGACAATAGACACTCGCGTTACTCATTTGATGACTTGACATAACAACTGGAACTTTGACGTCAACTTCTATTTTATAATATAACGTTGGTATTGGCTGTAGTTGTTTAAACAAATTGATGATTACTATTATGCCTAGAACTAGAACTATTCACTACTTACGTTGATTGCCTGTGATTGTCTTTGAGCATTCGAACATCTTTTCTCTGTAAAGCTCGATGAGATTGTATATGCTTTTTCGTTGATTGCTTGTTTTGTGATGTTTTCGTTATCTGATTGATTCTGAAAACTATCGTGAGAGGCTATATCGTCATAAAATCCATTGAAAAGTTGCCAATGCTTCCTGCTTGATAATTGCCTCAGTTGCCTTTAATTGCTTATGTCTGAGAATTCCCTTTTCGAAAACTGTTTTGAGTGACTACAGATGAGAAAAACGAATAAAAGGAAAATTAAAACATTTGATTGGTTTTGAAGCATTTTAGCTACAAAATTGTAATAACTCTAAGTGCCGAAAAAAAATTTGAGCAGGACGGTGGGGCGTTTGTTCCTTTTTGAATCCACCAAAATGAATTTGTAGTAATAAAAAATAATTACCTCATTTCTCGGCTGAAGTCCTTGATGAATTTCAATCACACATTACGATTAAGCAACGTCTTCTCATCCTTTCGTACCAGTCTTTTACATGCA